TTATTTCGTTACTGCACTGGGTACTTACGTGTGCAACCGTGTCAGTACTCAACCGTGTCATCAGCGGTGGTACCAACAATACCGTGGCTGGACGGACGCATTATCGCTGGTACCACAATCCGCGAGGAAGAGGCACTGGCACGGCTCGACGCCATTTCCGTTCGGAGCCGATCAAGTACAGTATCGTCCAGCATACGATTACGCTGGATGACCCGCACCTAATCCGACAGTCGTTGAGCTGATACGTTGACGGCTCGCTCAAGCACCTGACACCTGAGAGAGCATCCGAACACGGTATGCGGTCAGGTTGTGCGCATGACGTTTTCGTTTATTGATTGCGTCCATCACATGCGCGGCACCCTTCCACCGGTGGCTGGGACCCTATCAGAAGCCGGTGGGCCTCAAGGTCCTAAACCGGCGTCCTCCCCGGCGACGCTTAGGTGGTGGTGTCGTCGGCGGCCGGTGTCACATGACTCACGGTGAGGCTTTATCCCGGCGGCGGCGAGGCGGAGCAGAGCGGCGAGGCCGGAGTTTGTGGAAATGCACGACGTGCTGCGGCTTTCGTCAACATTGTCTCACCAGACGTCCTTTTTTCTCTCTCATATTATGCATTTATTGTTGTGGTTTCCACATAGGTATAGTATAAGCCATTTTGTTGCTTCCTGTGTTCCGTTTATAATTATTTTGTTAGTAAGCGGTATTTATATTATAATTTTATAAAAATGGTTAAGCGAAAAAAATTTTGACCTGTCATTTTGACAGCGAGCCATAGGTTTTTATTGTATTGCGTCCATCGCTTATTGTATTGCGTCCATCGCATGCGCTGCTCACTTCCGCCAGTAGCTGGGACCCTATTAAAAGCCGATGGAGCTCGAGGTCCTAAACGTGCTGGCGGCCTGCGTTGTCTCCGGCGACGCGTAGGTGGTGGTGTCGTCGGCGGTGAGTAGTAGGTACTCGTCGCTGGAGCTCGACGCAGCTACCACGGCCGGTGTCACATCACTCACGGTGAGGCTGGATCCCGGCGGCGGCGAGGCGGAGCTGAGCGACGAGGCCGGAGGTGGTGGGCGTGCACGACGAGCTGCGGCTCTCGTCAACATCGATTGTGTTTCCATCGTTGTTTTTTCCTGTTCCCCATAATATTAGGTGGTAGTTTTATTTATATATATGATGTTACTTTGTTGTATAATATTACGGTAAAGTTATTAAATAATAATTATTTATTCATTATTGTATTTCTTCATGTCTTTACCACTCACGGGACCACAGGGTGCCGGTCATTTGGAAGGCGTACGAGGGGCCGGAGCCAACTGCGCAGAGGCCCTTTAGACAACTTTAATCAAAATGAAATGTAGCAAAACTTAACCTGTTCATATAAAATACAAATATAACCCTACCAACTTATATATGCAGGTGGAGGACACAAACCGGCGACTATCCCTGTATGCACTATGGAAATGCACCCAAGGACAGTCCCCGGTTAGTGTAGGACTATTGTGGATAATGGAAACAAAGTACAAGGTTATGGGTGTGTGTTGCTATGGGCTGATATGATGGGAACTATGGCACCTGCCGATACAATGTAATAAATACACGTAAAAATGGCAGGTGGAGACTCGCCAACTCACTGACCGGGCCCCCGGGAATGATTGCTAGTAATAGCAACAGAGGGACAACGGAAATGTGAGTGGCTTGAAGGGTTAAGAAACTGCCACCAGCTTTCTACTCAGATCATCTGCATCTGCCTAAGCATCCTGCATCACTGGCCCACTCGCCGCTTACGAACAGCTTCCACCCTCAGAGCAGGATCACTACTCTCTCGACTCCACTCTGGACGGCCAATGAAGGCAAGCCAGAGGTGGGAGACCTGTTCCTCGTCATCGTTCACTCCGACCAGCCAATGAAGGCAAGCCGGAGATAAGGAACGGTGGCTCCTCCCTGGAGCAATCGGGATGATGGTACCCCCGGGATCGCTAATTCCCGTCACCTCGCTTCGAGTTTGTTGCGGGATCATTATTGTAATTCTTTTTATTTATCATATAAACATATAAATTACATTTACAAATATTTCTTAAAAAAAAATTAAAAATATAGAATATAGTGTCCCACCGGTATCGGGAACAGGGTCCAAGCTACCGGCGGTCAGGGCTCCAGAGAGAGGAACCTCTTGACAATACGAGCCGTGTCCAGGAGTACTACTTTCTGAATCAAGCCCTTGATCCAGCCACCTAACGAGAGCCTCCTAAGATGTTGGTCGAGGCTATTGGCTATTAAGCTATTGGCTGACACGACTATCGGTACAATGATAGCCGAATCCACTTCCCACATGTCGACAACCTCGCGTGCCAAGTCAATATACTTGATGAGCTTATATCTTTCCCAGCTTTCACGAGGTTCTCGTCATGTGGGACAGCTATTTCAACAATCATTGCACGCCTCACGTTTCGGTCTACCACCGCTATATCAGGGTCATTGGCCACAATAGTCCTGTCAGTGATGATAGACCGGTCCCAGTACAAGGTGATATGACCATTTTCAAGAACTGGTGTAACGTTGTAAACCTTCGACTTGGGACCTACCTTAATTCAGTTGGTATTCATTCTGTATTGCATTCCAAATAACACATAATTGGATGTAATTTTAATTGTTTTGTATTCACAAGAATATTGTTTGTTGTTTTTGCAAAGTGTCAAACCTCACATCAAAGTGACGTTACGCTTGTCGTGAAATGTCAACGTCAGTTGTTACAGATTATACACTCACCCAATCGATAATAAAATCAATGTGCGGTAGATGATATAATTTTGTCAATAATAGCGGGTAATCGTTTTAATTTTATTTATTAATGGATAATCGCCCGCGGACAGTTAGCCTTGAGGTCAGATAATTAAAAAGAAGTAGATATGTGTCTCTGCTTCCTATACTTGTCTATGAAATGCAATTTTCTTATAAGGCGGGTTTGAGTAGAATCTTTCCTTTTCTTCTGGAATCCTGATCGCCGACCTACAAACGCACTGTGTTGCATAATTTTCGCAAAAGCCATTTTTAGGGTTATTTTAGATTCAGTGTTTTCGTGGTTCCCTGCAAAGGTGTTGTTGCACAGACTTATATTTAAATTCGTAAGTCGAGCGTAGGGACTGTAAATTCTTGTATTTTGATTTTTCGGTTTTATTTGCTATTTAAATTGTGCCGTTAGTAACGGTTACATTTATATACTTTCATGGGGTTTCTCGTTAAATCTATTAGTTAAATGACTTATTTGTACCGTGTTCATGATTAAGAAACGAGTATAATATACAATTATTAAAATTTATTATTTTCGTGTGAATTGATATTCATATAATTGTATTCTAGTTCTCGTACTAATCATGACACGAATCCTGTATTAACTCGGGTTTTATTCCTGTTTCGTCGCATCTTGAACCTGTGCGTGGCGTTTATATAATTTCGCTTTCAAGAAAAAACGGTCACCGTCTTTTTCCGAATTTAAAATATGACACGCCATGGCAGTTTATGAGGGTGGATGACTTTTTATTATTAATAATTGATCTGGGTTTCTTACGTACCTAATCAATTAATTTAATTGTATTGTATTTTAATCACATTTTAAAATTATCTGAAATCCAACAGTAGGGTATTTAATCACAAATTTTATCTCACACTACCCCTTTAGTAATTTATTATCTATTATTTTGTGGGATAATTTTATTGTTTTATTATTTTAATTTTCCACCCTTGTAAAAGACCAACCGACCGTAGGGCCCTGTGATAGGATTTGGTCGGTGGTCACCAGGACATTTTGGGACAACGGTGGACTACACCCTACCTGATTGGCGGTTTCAGGAACCACGGACGGAGTTGAAAGGCCCCGTCTAATTTAAGAACCACGGACGGAGTTGAAAGGCCCCGTCGAACTTGAGAACCACGGACGAAGTTGAAAGGCACCGTCGAACTTAAGAGCCACGTACGGAGTTTAAAAACCCCGTGTGTGGAGGTGAGCGTCATGGGCCTGCCCCGTGCCATTGCGCTATTGCCGCCGCGTTGTCCCCGGACTGGGATAGCGGCACCGGCATGCGCCTCATCTTCATGCCTCGCCTTTAGTTAAGTGGCCACCACCAACACCGCCATCCACGTCTCGCATATACCCACATTTTTATTTATTGTAAACGCTCATCAGTGACAGTGCCACCAAGAAGGCGTAGAACCCACGCCTTGTTTTTTGTGTAGTTTTAACAATAAATTGATATTGTTTAAAACGTGTGTTGTTTGATTTATATTTTTTGATTTAATTTTTTTGGTCGGGTTTATCCCGTAGCACTGGGTCGGGCTGATACCTGTAGTACGGCACTTCCGATCCCACAAGAGAATACCTCAGAGCAAGCTGCTGATGGATGATCCTAGCTACAAGGTTGTGTCTATGCAAGTACTCGCCGTTAGCTAGACGAGAACAACCAGAGATTATGTGACGAATTGATTTTCCCGGACGGTGACATGCCCGACAGATGTCAACCGTGCCATCCTTCACAATGAATCTCCGGTAGTTATTCGTCATGATAACTTCGTCCATAATTGCACAGACAAACCCTTCGGTTTCCCCAAAGAGGTCTCCAAAACGCAGCCAGGATACGGACGCCAACTGGTCTACATCCGGCCCATGTAGGGCTCGGAAAAAGCGTCCGTGAAGCTTCTTGCTCTGCCAAACTTCCCTGCGAGCGTTGGTGTCAAGTACGTCCGGTTTACGCCAGTTCTCGCTAGCCAGGGAGAGCGGGGTGAGCCCCTTGTCCACTGCCACTACATTTCGATGCATACCCACGTCAGCAGCAAGGAAATATTCCCTGAGACCTACATACCTCGCGGTTGTGTAGAGTCTTGGCATTTAAAAAGCTTCGACCCCCACACTTCCGCTGGATATACAGTCTCATCACCGACGATCGCGGGTGATGCATTCGGTATGCAGTCAGCATTGTTCGGATTATTGTATTTATTTTATTCAGCATATAAACATATAAATTACATTTTTAAATATTTCTTAAAAATAAATAATAAAAAACATTTAAAAATATAAAAAATAGTGTCCCACCGGTATCGGGAACTGGGTCCAAGCTACCGGCGGTCAGGGCTCCAGAGAAAGGAACCTCCTGACAATACGAGCCGTGTCCAGGAGTACTACTTTCTGAATCAAGCCCTTGATCCAGCCACCTAACGAGAGCCTCCTAAGATGTTGGTCGAGGCTCTTGGCTATTAAGCCATTGGCTGACACGACTATCGGTACAATGATAGCTGAATCCACTTCCCACATGTCGACAACCTCGCGAGCCAAGTCGATATACTTGATCAGTTTATCTTTCTCGGCTTTCACAAGGTTCTCGTCATGTGGGACGGCTATGTCAACAATCATTGCACGCCTCTCCTTCCGGTCCACCACCACAATATCAGGCTTATTGGCCACAATAGTCCTGTCAGTGATGATAGACCGGTCCCAGTACAAGGTGATATGACCATTATCAAGGACTGGGTCGGGCTCATACCTGTAGTACGGCACTTCCGATTCCACAAGAGAGTATTTCAGAGCAAGCTGCTGATGTATGATCCTGGCTACAAGGTTGTGCCTATGCAAGTACTCGCCGTTAGCTAGACGAGAACAACCAGAGATTATGTGACGAATTGATTCTCCCGGACGGTGACATGCCCGACAGATGTCAACCGTGCCGTCCTTCACAATAAATCTCCGGTAGTTATTCGTCATGATAACTTCGTCCATAATTGCACAGACAAACCCTTCGGTTTCCCCAAAGAGGTCACCAAAACGCAGCCAGGCTACGGACGCCACCTGGTCTACATCCGGTCCATGTAGGCCTCGGAAAAAGCGTCCGTGAAGCTCCTTGCTCTGCCATACTTCCCTGCGAGCGTTAGTGTCAAGTACGACGGGTTTGCGCCAGTTCTCGATAGCCAGGGAGAGCGGGGTGAGACCTTTGTCCACTGCCACTACATCTCGATGCATATCCACGTCGGCAGCTAGGAAATATTCCCTGAGACTACATACCTCGCGGTTGTGTAGGGTCTTGGCATTTAAAAAGCCTCGACCCCCACTCTTCCGCGGTATATACAGTCTCATCACCGACGACCGCGGATGATGCATTCGGTATGCAGTCAGCATTGTTCGGACTTGCCTATCCAGGGCGTCCAGTTCAGTTTGAGACCATTTGAGTACGCCGAAAGAGTACATCAACACCGGCATGACCCAACCGTTGAAGGCGCGCACTTTGTTTCCACCTGAAAGAAAGCTATTGAATACCTTCTTCAGGCGACCAAAGAAACGCTCCTTCAGCGATTGCTTCATGTCAGTGACATTGATGCCTAAAGCTTCCGACATACCCAAATACCTATATGTTTCTGTTGGAGAGAGGGACCTCAGGTTTATGGAATCCGTGAGTTGAGTTCCCACAGATTCCACAACCTCCCCTCGTTTTACATGCATGATCGCACATTTGTCCACACCAAACTCCACCCTGATGGCACTACTGAAGGTTTCAGTTAGCTTGAGTAGCTCCATCAGTTGCAGTTTGTTGGGGGCAAAAAGCTTCAAGTCATCCATGTAAAGGAGGTGAGATATAACCTGACCACCTCTCTTCAACCGGTAGCCTAGGCCTGAATTCTCTAGGAGTGTGCTTAGGGGATTCAAGGCTAGGCAGAACCAAAGCGGACTCAAACTATCACCCTGGAATATACCACGCTCGATCCTTACAGGTTCGCTGTTCCTTTGGGTATGTCGACATCCCGGATAGCGAAGAACCGTACTCCATTGCCTCATACAGGACATCAGGAAGGTGCGTAGTTATTGTATCAATTTTATACAATTCCAACACCCTCATGAGCCATGTATGAGGAATAGAGTCATAGGCCTTCTCATAGTCTATCCAACATGTCGACAGATCCTTACGGGCACGTCGAACCTGTTGGCTGATGGCCATATCAATGAGGAGTAGCTCCTTAGTACCGCGGGATCCCTTCTTACATCCATTCTGAGCAGTTGACATGATTTTATTTTTGTCAATATGACTATTAATTTTACTTCTCAGTATGGATGTAAGAACTTTATAGACCGTCGGCAGGCACGTGATCGGTCTATAATTTTTGGGTTCCGCAGTACTACCTGATTTATGGAGCAGGTGGGTTACTCCTGTCGTTAGAAACTTGGGCAGCGATCCTGACTCTACGGCAGACTGGAATTGAGATGCTAAACGAGCGTGCGCCCTTGTGAACCACTTGATCCAGAAATTGTGCAGTCCATCCGGCCCTGGAGATTTCCAGTTAGGCAACGGACGGACTGCACGAGCAACATCTTGGGGACTGATGTTAATTGTCCCCATTTGTGGTATTGGCGCACGCGCGTTCTACATCCCGAATCCAGTCACCCTCAGTGTGACTGACAGGCATCGACCAGATGCTGCGCCAGAATGAACACATGGCGTCATCATCCGGGAGGCGTCTATCAGTCACACCATGGTCCGGTCGCTCCCAAGTCCTATACACCAACCTTTCATTACTCCGGAATGTGCGATTCTGGGTATATCGTTCCACCCGTCGCCTGTACCTCCGAATACGGTTTGCCCATGCATATACCTTCTGCTTCAGAAAGTCGATGCGCTCTGTGACGCGGGACATATAGTCTCGGGGGCTGATATCTGTCCCCGAAAATGCCCGTCTCACAAAGCGCATCACTCTGGGGCGGGTATTACCTTCCCTGAAGCAGATTAATTTGCCGATGAGTGCTCTGGCCCCAGCAATACGACACTCAATCCTGCGCTGCCAGGCCGGTACAGCTAGTTTCGGTCGTGTGGTTACGTCATTAGTAGGGAATTTGACGTGAGCCACACGACATGCCGCTACGGCCGCGCAGTACATTATCGAGTGTGTATCACCGAGGTCTTCGCAGTCATCTAAATAATTAGATAACTGCGAATCCAGTGCAGCCACCAGCGCTTTATTCTTGTTATGCATGGGCAAACGAGGCAAGCGTGGTCTGAGGTCGGGTGATATGTAGCGATATTCCCGAATCGCACATTCCAAAGCACTCCTCAATTCATCAATGCACTGGGTACTTACGTGTGCAACCGTATCAGTACTTTCCTCATCAGCGACGGCACTAACAATACCGTGGCTGGTCAGTGGCAAAGTCGCTGGCACCACAGTCCGCGACGAGGAGGCACTGGCACGGCTACCCATTTCCGTTTGAAGGCGATCAAGCACAGTATCGTCCAGCATACGGTTTCGCTGGATGACCCGCACCTGATCCGACAGTCGTTGAGCTGATACGTTGACGGCTGGTTCAAGCACCTGAAACAGAGGTGGTGGGCGTGCACGCCGTGCTGCTGCTCTCGTCAACATGATTGTTTCTTCCGAGTTCTTATGTCATTACCTTTTTTCTCTTTGTCCTATTGTACGGAATTTTCTTCATTTTGCCTGTTTGTGTTGTTGTTTTTGCCAAGGGGTTTTTTTTTTATTATATTTTTTTTTGTTATTGTATTTATTATTATTATTGATATTGGTATTTTTTCTTTGGTGGCTGTAACGATCTTTTTTTATGTTTTATCGTTCCTAACACGGATCTTGTGAAAAACTATTTATTAAAAAATGCATCGTTTGATTTCTAATATATGGTTTGTTTGAAAGGATTAAATTATTATTAATATATAATTAATTCTTATGTTAACAGGTCCAGTGCTTTTTTTATTCAATAGGGTATATCAACAACATCCATAAAATATATGTTTTAATTTTGACAGAGACAGATCTTGTATCATCATCATCATCATCATCATCATCATCAGCCTATAAGTGCCCACTGCTGAGCAAAGGCCTCTTCTCAAACGGAGAAGGTTTGAGCATTAATCATCACGCTTGCTTAATGCGGGTTGGCGATTTCAAACTTACAATTAGAAATTATAAGTCCAGGTTTCCTCACGATGTTTACCTTCATCGTATGTCAGTGGTGTCTAAATAATCATAGAAAGTACATATAACTCGGAAAAAGTCACATTGGTACTTGCCAGGTTTCGAACCCACACTCTAATGCATGAGAAGCGGGCTCCTTAACCTCCAGGCCACCACGACATATTTCACGAGATCTTGTATGTATATCTTTAACAGATGTACACATCACTCACCGTATGTAAACATAACCATTAAACTAAGGAAAAAAATCGGGCACGCTATTATAGCAGCAGTAAGACGACCCTTCTTTGCGGAGTGGCTTGGGAGACGCCACGGCGGCGGCGTCCTCACCTTCCGCCTGACGCAGGTGCTTACTGGGCAGCTTTGGTAGGTTCCTGTTTCGGATCCAGCGGAAGGAAACGCCCGAGTGAGGCGTGAGGACCACCTAGAGGATACGTTGGAACATACGGCGTCGGTATGCCTTGCCTGGGCTGAGCACCGCCGTATCCTGAGGACACGACACAGGGAGTGATCGGCGGCGGCGACCTCTCGCGCCCGGCCTTAGTCGAAGCCATGGTGCGGAGCGAGAGGAACTGGGACGCCGTCTCCTCCTTCTGTGAAGCAGTTATGCTCGAAATGACTTTTCCCGCCCGGACCTGGGCGGAAGTAGTGAGATGATTTTCCCTCACAAAAAAACAACTAAGGAAAATTACAAAAGGAACAAAATTGACGAAGTTATGCAAATACGGAATACCTACATTAAAAATAGTGTTGCCAGATTTATTTTTATAATAATACTAATAGTATATTATTAAAATCTTTTATCATGTAATTCGAAAATTGTTTAAATATTTTGTTTCTGTTCAACAAAACCCGTGCCCACTTTATATCTGACTAATGTTCGTTGAATTACTACAGATTTAGTGAAAAGCAACAACCGGAAGGACCTTCTATCCATCCTTTGTTAGAATGGATTCGTCCGATTATAGGCAGGATATTCAGTTCAGTTGGTGTTAAATGTCCTTTATTCTAGGGATATAAGGGACCAATGCTTGCCCTAGTTTGGTAGAATACAAATGTTTAAGTATATAAAATAATCTATGAGAGATGTTTGACATACACATAACTTTCATTGATGAAAAATTGAGGTAGAAATACCATAATAGTTTCATATCTGCATACGGTATATATACCAAAAACCTAGCTATACTGACGAACTGACTGACAGACTGAAATAATATTAATTTTGACGTTATTCTCACATAGGGGTACAGTAATGAATAAAAAATGTATTATTGGTGAATTGTAAAACAAATATTTTTTTAAAAAGAGTAACGATGGAGTTTCTTGCTCGTTCTTTTAAACTACAATTTGGAACGAGCACCTAGCTTCACTGACGAACAGACTGACAGACTACTATTCTATTTTGACGTTTCAAAAGTACCTATTTATGGTTTAGTTGGAATAAATGATTTTGATTTGATTTGTTTCGCAACACCGAGAAAGATTATTACGACGATACGTATTATTGTTTTTTAGTGTCACATCATCAGCCTCTCATACTGCTGAGCAAAGGTCTCTTCTCACACGGAGAAGGTTTGAGAATTAACCCCGCTTGCTCGAAGCGGATTAGCGATTTCAAACTTAATTATAAGTCCAGGTTTCCTCACGATATTTTTCTTCAAAAAGTACATATTATTATAACTCGAAAAAGCCACATTAGTACTTTCCAGGCTTCAAAACTGCATTATCACGTGTGAGAAGCGGGCGCTTTAAGCCCGGGCCACCACGACACAGTTGTTTAGCGTAAAGAAATACTTAGTAAATGACCGTAAATATAAAATATGAAAAAAAAAATGTTAAACATATACATACAAGATCTCTGTTTCAGTCATAAAATTAAAAATAATGTATTTTATGTATATTGTTGATGTACCTTATTGAATAAAAAATATGATTTGGGGAGTAGCCTACACAGTTATTACGTTTCATTTTACAATATGGATTCCTATGCTCCTTTGAAGATTGAAAAGTGTGGTCGATCGTTAAACCTATCTATCACATTGGAAGAAATTTTACAAGTACCCACATATATATTGCTCTAAATACGAAATGAAAACTTCATTTGTTAAAAACACTTTGTCGAGGTTATTTGCAACGCTTGCAATTAGGAAGCGGGGCGGATAAGTCATCTCTTGGTATAGATTAAACTTTTGCTTTAAAAGAAACGGAGAAGTAAGAAGAAAGTTAATTAATTTTGCACTTCTAAGTGGTAGTCGTTCATTATTGTCTTGCAGTTGAGAAATCTGCTTGTGATGTAGCTGCAAATAACATTGAACTTTCTGATTGTAAATCTATAGACGTTTTAAGATATATTCCTTTCTTATTAGTTCTATTGTATTGGAAATAACTACTTTATGTTGTAGTTCAGCAAACGAGCAGACGGATTACCTGGTGGTAAGTAATCAGCGCCACCCCTGGACACCTGCAATTTGTGTGTTTCCGACTTTTTTGATTAGAGTTGGGGATAAGGGAGGGGTAGGATTGGGCCCTCCAGTTACCTTACTCACACGGCGAAACACAACGCTGTGGTTTTTTCACCCCGGTTTTCTTTGGGACCGTGGTATCACTCTGTTCAAGCCGACCTGTTCGTGCCGAAGCAGCGCCCTCCCACACTGTTGGTTGGTTAAATTGATCATCTGAGAGGTCGTCGTAGCATATATGCGATCCATCCCTTACATAAATCACACACATCGCTTATAAAAACAAAATCAAAGATATCATGTAGTACCGAAACCTTTAATTAAATTTAAACATTTTCAGGTTAGTTAATTTCAAAGTTTCGTAATAGATCCAAAAATTTTAGGATACAATTTTTACTTTTAATAATTCCTGGAATTCTTGCACACCAGGCAAATTCCTCTTGATGTAAAAGTCTTGTTTTGAACATTTCTCAAACCAGGCTGATAATTTGGGGTACCTAGAAAAAACAATCATTTTGTGTAAAATTAGTTTACCAGTTTTATGTACTATTGACGTTGTATATTTTAATTTTCTATAGCAAAGATGTCCCTAACTTTGTTAAAACAAAACTTGACTTTCCGAGAAAGTTTTATAGAGAAATACGAGTAACACGTCACACATATTTAAATCGATTATTTTTCTTAGTTTCCTTGTTTCCTTCTTTCGCCCTTGTAGAAAGGCGCTAAAGTTTACTAAATAGTTCTCTTTTTTTATTTTACAGCCACAAGTTAATTTTCAATTTGTGACAAAATAACAATTTTTATTGATATTATTATAGAGTAATAAATAAAATAAATGATCTAATGTGTTGTCTTTTTTTCGATATACCTATGTTTCTAGCATAACCGATACTCACAGAGCCTTATCTATGGGCAAAATCTCATTTAGAGAGCTGATGTTTGATACACAGCAAATGTCAGCTAATGTTATTGACTCCCCTGCGAGCCAAGGGCCAGAGAAGAATTTTTCTATAAAATCATAACCCTCTTTAATTTTGTCCAGATTTTCTTGCTTGAATGATTTTTCGCCGTTATATAAAATTGGAACCTGTAAATTAAAATAAATGGTATTAAGTAATAAGAATAAAAAAACTGTTTTAACCTCTTGTCTGCCGGTATATGAGACACAATAGAAAACACATCGTGTCTCGCGTATATCTGCGTTCCGGCACACCACGGGTTAAAGTACTTTAAGTGAGCGTCAAAATATTAAGATGTTATACTAGAGGGTAGTACTTAAATGTAAAGAAACAAACAAAATATCGGTGCACGTTCAAGAGTTAAATAAGAGAACGCACCAAACTTATGGTATGTACGTAGCGTATAACAGTTCCTTCAGAGCTGATTTTTTAATAAATAAATGTTATATGAGGAATAAAACTGTTGCTATCACTGTCTTATACAAACATCCTGACGCGACAACATCATAATTATTCTCTAGATAACTTTTAACCATTGAAAATCAGCCCTTATTATTATTAGCAGACAGACCACCAGTGTTTCGCACGGGTATCCGACTATCACGGTGTCAGTCATTTGTTTTGCAAGCGAATGGCCACAGCTCTTAAAGGGTTGTTTATTCCCGTTATTCCCTGTTACTTTTCTAAAATCTTCTTTTGTAAGAACCTTCTTTCAATGACATCCATAACGAAAAAGAATTTGAAAAATTGGTCCAGGCATAATTGAGTTACGCGCTTACCAACTCATATCGCGATTAATTTTTATAGTATAGGTTAGATCGTTATGACATTTATAGGGCTAATTAAGGTAGAAAATCATCAAATTACTTATTTCGACGAGAAGGAGTGTCAAATTTTTGAATAGTCTACTACCTATCGTGAGTCATTCTAAATTTCGTTTGACCTAGAGGGGTAGGACTATAGTCAGCGGTGGTGGTCTTGTCGCTAATGTCGATACGATTGTTTAAACCACTTGAGATTTCTAGTCAAGCCTTTATAAAGCCCTACCAATCAGAACTTAATTAAATTCTTTATTTCACACCACAGGGTAAAAACATTAGTTTGTTAGTATTAACGTTTCATTTAGTATTGACGTGGACATCAAGACGCACATGTCATGTCTACTTCTCTAACGGCCCATCCATTTTATCTGCCAGTATATCTAGTATACTGTTAGGATGGCTCCTAAATCGCCGCATCATATATGCACATGGCTTGCGAATAATAGCATAAAAGTCATATATTCTGGCTTTCGCCAACACTCCAGATGCTCTACACCATCGAGACAGTCTGAAAATCATTCTCATCGTATTATTATATTGAAAGCGCAGAGCTTTATTAACCTAAACTTCACCCACAAGCTAAAAAGGAAAACGACTGGTAATATGCTCTAAATAAGGTCAGTTTTACTTTATTAGTGCATCGAGCAAACCCAGTGAGCATGTTACATCAGGCTGCCAACGCTCTGTGTGTTCTATCAATATCTTGATCATCAGTCAGAGAATCCGTAACTAAGAAGAAGAAGGCGGCGCAATGAATGCATTCACATTAGCTCAGTGTCAATACTGGTCAATATTATACTACAGTCGCCATGTGTACATCATCAGTAAAACCGGGGACCGAGTATTAAGGACTATCCAAAGGAACAACACCACAACTGAGCTGCTTACGACAGTCTTATTGTATCTATCTAATATTCGTAAATTGGTAAATAAAATGTGTGTATAAATGTAGGAGAGCCATGCTTCGGCACGAATGGATCAGCTCGACTGGAGTGATATCACGGCCTCAGAGAAAACCGTGAAACAACTACAACGTTGTGTTTTACCATGTGAGTGAGGTTACTGGAGGCCCAATCCCAAAATCTCCAAATCCCTAATCTCCAAAAGGTCGGTGACGCACTCGTAACTCCTCCGTTGTTGCGGGTATCCATGGGCGGCGCTGATTGCTTACCATCAGGTAAACCATCTGCTCGTTTGCCGACCTATAACATAAAAAAGCTAGTTTTTTACAACTTACCATAGTAGTTTTCAGTGCGGCAAAAAGAACACCGTTATCAAAATGTAACCTCTGGTCTACAATAGCACGTTTTTTAGGATCCTTAGGATACAGTGAATCGTCTTTTGCGTATTGGTTAACTAAATACGTCACAATTGCGTGGCTGAAATACCAAAAAATGTGGTTTAGTAAAATAAATAGACGTGTTAGAATAATTGATTGTATTTTAAAAATAAAATTCAAATTATTATTTGTTATTTTAAGGTCAAAATTACGAAATGCGTTGTGTAGTTGTGAATAAATAAATAAAAATGGTGGCCCAGAGGTTCAGCGCCCGCTTCTCATGCATGAGGGTTCGAAATCTGTCAAGTACCAATATGACCTTTTCCGAGTCATAATAATTATGTAATTTCTATGATTATTTAGACACCACTGAAAAACAGTGAAGGAAAACATCGTGCGGAAACTTGAACTTATCATTCCTAATTATAAGTTTGATATCGCCAATCCGCCTTGAGCAAGTGTGGTGATCAGTGCTTAAACCTTCTTTTGAGAAGAGGCCTTTGCTCAGCAGTGGGCAACTATAGACTGCTAATGAGAAAATGAAATAAAGATGTTTTTGTGTCATCTCTGATTATTATGGCAGAATTGCCCTCTTTCTTCTGACTTTGCTGTATTTTTTTAAATAATTCTGAGGTGCTTGCTACCGTTTGGATCCTTGTAGTTTTTAAATCAGTTTTCCTCATTACCTTGCGTACAAAATGTTTTTTGCTGATTAGATCAATCTTTCTTAAGACTGAGTTCTCGACATACTACTTCAGATACATTGATAAGTCATTTTATCTTATCATTAAGATTAAAACCGATTTATAAGTTAACCGAACGATGCGTTTACTATACTATTCACAACAAAGTATTTTGCGACCAAGAATCTATATGTGAAACTGATTTAAAAAAAGTGGAGAGTCTTGCTCTTCTGCTTCTCCATCGGAATCTACACTTTGGAACGAGCAAATAGCTTCACTAAACTGACCAACAACAGTTACAGGCTGACACTCTAACACCCGGTTTCTGAAAGGCTTGTCAACTCTAAAATTAACTATTCTCCTGTTAAATCCCGTTGTTGTTGTTGATAATTCAGTCAACCAATCAGATGACTTGAGAAGAGCTTAAATTGATTTTAACATTGATCGGCCTTTCGGAAACCGGTTGTATATCTTTTAAAATTTTATTTGACGTTCAAAAGCGCCTGTATTTGACTTTGCTTTGACTTTTGACTTGACTTTGCGTTTATGAGAAAGACAATGTAATCTCGACTACAGTAATCTGGATTAAAGAAAATGTCCCCTTATTTTTCAGGTTTCCAGTCCAACTTTTGTATCTAGAACTTTATATCAATGGTCTTAACTTTTTTGTTACTGTACTACAGTTTGTATCATTGTTGAAGCTATTATGCGAAAGTTGTCTTTGTTTGATTGATTTGTCTGTCAGGAGCTAACCATTTTATGGTAGATATATTTCTGTGTTTCTGAGATATAAATAGATTATTTTTCAGTCTGTTTCACAGGATTATGTTTTGTAAAAAAGACAATAATAATGTGATTTAATAACTGAATTAATTGATTTATTATGTTAAGGGCTGATTTTTCAATGATTAGATAAAAGTTATCTGGGAATAATTATTATGATGCAGTCAGATCAAAATGTTTGTATCAGCAACAATTTTGTTTCTCAGATAACATTTATCTGACTATTGAAAAATTCGCCTTCAGAAATTTCAAAAATATGTATCTAAATATTATATTAAAAAAGTGCAGAGCAAAGCTCGTCCTGACTTCAATGTATATTTGTACAGGTAGAAAAGGATTTCAGTTAATCAATACCAAATCTCACCTATCCCAAATGACGAAATCACCATCTTTCAACGTGGGAATTGTATGTTGCGGGTTCATCTGAAATTATAAACATTTAGGCGTAAATATTTATTTAATTCATGTGTTCAAAAATTTTTGATATCCCAATATTTTTTTTATTTGGTAAATGAATCACACAAACTCAAGTTACGACATGTCAAAAAATATTACATACTCGTATCTATTGTTGTTTACACTACATGTCATGTCAAGTACATTGTCAACTTTTTTATGAAAATAGTATTATCTGTATATATTGTTAAGGATGAATCATAGCATAACAGTAACTGAAAGTGACCGTAAAGCCTGTGGTACAGATTCGATTCTATATAGGCACCGTAATGTTATTTACCTAGATTAATTAAAATGTAAGACCTAATGTAAGATATTTATGTACAAACGTAAATAAATAAAACTTGATTGATTGATTGAAATTTGATCTACATTTACTCCATTTTGTCTCTCGTAACCTTCTAAATACTGAAATAACTTTTTGCAACTAAAAGAGATATTAACGTATTTAAAATTAATATTCCTTAATATTCCAGTATACCGAAAATAGGAAAATGTAACGTAATCCACATTAAAAACTTTTTTGTGTGATACGGCGGCAGAAAAGACATATTACACGATGTAAATTCCCCAACGAGGATCCGAATTGGGAAACGATTAACAATTCCGGGAATTTTATCAACTTCCATTTTTTGATAATTATTTTTACCTATTGTCGCTTTTTGGTCTTAATTTCACTAGATTATCCGTAAATGTATTAAAATTTTAAACAAATGACTATCGTAATTTTAGTATCTCGTCAATCTACTTTTAGATTTGAACTACCAGTCTTCTGCAAGGTTTAAAAAATTTCATATTAATGTCAAAAATGCAATAATTTTCTTATAGACATTTTATGAAAGCATCTATGAAGACAAAAATATTAATGGGCAGAGCAGACAAGGTAGGGAAAGAAATGTTATGATAACCCCTCGCAAAAAAAAGCATTTAGAGGTCACGAAGTTCATAGTTAAGATGGTTAGAGGTACTACATCTCGTCTAGCTGGTAAATTCGTATTTATTTTTATTTTTTATGTTTTTAATGTATAACGTTGCCCCAAACTAGGATTTTCTCCCGTGTGAGGTAACAAACAACCCGCCAGGTTTCGCAAGGGTGCAAGACTGATAATAAAATTCTGTACAATATAATAACTGTTAATCTACATTTTAATTTTCTTTTTCAATCACTCAATCGACGTAACGTAGTTTGAAAGTAGTACATAGGGATAGGGACAGAGAAAGTTACTTTGTTTTGTACAGTCCCCCGCACATCAGTGTTTCCATTTGAACTACGAAAACAGCTCTTATGTCGTAAGGAATAAAAGTGGTCTCAAGGTCAAAATATATTCAATGATATGCGGATGACTGTCTTATGTAGTGATAGTGATTACCTTCAAATATTCTTCCCTGAAGTGTTCGCGTTGAATCAAATTCATTTGTATATATTCAACGTCTTGTATACCCAACAGTTCAAGTACCATGAACACCGACCGACAAGGTCCACTGGTTTCCCTTTTGTACAATTTCATACCCATTATAGGCCTGGAAAATAATTATTTTTAAATATCATAGATCAACAGAACGAGCATAGACAATTGACCTGGTGGTAAGCAACCAGCGCTGCACACGGATACTAATGGAATCACTACACTGCGTTGCCGACTTCTGGTGGGTTATTAGGGATATAAGGATAAGGTGATTTGATGATTGAGGATGGGGGGGAAGAGGATTAGCCTCCGGTTACCCCACTTAATGTAAATAATTAAACACAGCGTGACGATACCGGATGCCCAATCCTTCCCCTCCCCCAATCCCTAATCCTTCCCCTCCCCCAATCCCTAATCCCTAAAAGGTCGGAAACGCACTCGAAACTCCTCTGTCGCGGGTGTCTTCGGGCGGCGCAGTCGTTTGCCGACATATTACACAAAAAAAAACATATAGAACGCTATTACAATAATTTCAAAACAGATAGAATAAAATTGTAGGTACCAGTCCAAACTAGATCCAACTCGGCAATAATGATAACACACGAATATATAATGTATGTATGTAGGTAAGAATTGACACGTCTTTGTGGCCGTATGTCACCATTAACACTGCAAACAAATCAATGTTTTACACCTCCCGCACTGATAGCAACCGTGAAACAAAGACATAAACACAGTAATATATGTATAGATATTATTACCGAGACATAATTGACCAAGGACGCTATTTAATTTATATATCGGAATATCATAGACATATTTAATAATACTTGTATATAAATATAAAATAAAAAATGAATATTTTCAGTTTCTGCGATAAAAATCACTCTGTAAACCCATATTTATTAGGTACTAGTAATCTCCCACTATCTCGCTAACGACCAAAGTGTCCCTCTTTCACAAATCTCCCCTCTACTTTTCTAAAATTTCCTTTCAGAAGAACCTTTTCCTGACTATTACAAACACATCAAAAAAAGAATTGGCAAAATTGGTCCAGGCGTTGTTGAGTTATGCGCTTACCAACATAATTTGCGATTAATTTTTATATATAGGTAGGTATATAGATTTGTTTTTATTAGGATTCTTTTTGTTGTTATTTTTTTCTTGTACTCAATAACTCAAAAGTTTATGTAGTCTTTTATGTTGATATTCTAGGTATTTGAAATTGGTGCCTGCATTCTGTTACAATATTAACGTTATGGAACTCTGTATGTGTTACTTCTATTATAATCATTCAACAAATTAATAAATTAGGGCATTTTTTTCAAGTTTTTACGCTAATATCACGAAGCTTGTGATATAGCATTAGAACGATCAGACGGGTTACCTGAAGTTAAGTAGTCGGCGCCGCACATGGACACTCAATACCAAAGGAGCAACTAACTACAAGTGAGTCGCCAACCTCTTGTGGACCAAGTACACGATTAATAAGAATAAGATAAGAATCTTCATTTTGAAACGAGCAACCAGCTTAACTGACCAAACAGACTGACGCTATAAACATGTTTTTTGAAGTTTACTTGTGTCTATATTTTATTTTCCATTTTATTTAATATTGGTCGTGTATTGGCCTTCTTGAAGTAAATGATTTGACCGTAGCCAACGACGCGAGTACCCAAACATCATTGATGACAGACATATATCTACTGACGTGATACATAAATGTATAATATGTCCATGTAAGTTTAAACTGTAGATTTTACGATACCTTTATCCTGTCAAACAAAGTGTTATACAGCCGATTAAAACAGACTCGACGTAAGCACCTATATTTTAGATTGAATAATAAAATAAACACACTTACTGGTTATAAGTACCGTAGTATGAAAATACACTTTTTCCTCAATTAGGTTAAGAGATTGTTTTATTGATATCAGAATGCAAGTCACTCTTGTTATCGATACGTAGAGGTCGGAGACTGATCTCTCCCCAACTAATCTTCTTTATCGAATAGTATTACATATCTTGTGCAATACTTGTTCAACATGTTATGCTAATTAAATTATGGTTGTCGTATTTTTGGTTTCACTTGTGATACCATGTGGTCTGTTAAAATACTCCTTGCCTTGTTTTTTATATTTTAATTTTCGCGCTGATTCGAATATGCTGATAGAAAATAATACCTGTATAGATCTGTCATAAAATTATATCGCCTTTTAGATATATTTAAAACTTTATACCCATGTAATAAAAATATGTATGGAAAGGGAAACCAATAGGTAATATGAATATTCATCATCATCATCATCATACTAGTGGCCACTGCTAAGCAAAGGCCTCTTCTCAGACGGAAAATGTTGTGCAAATGTTGCTCCAGTGCTGATCCAAACTTTTGACGGCACGGTTGGCGCGGTGGCTGGACAACTGGATGTGGTGCAAGCGATTCCTGCACGGAACAACTCTTTGTGTGCTCCACAAATTGTTGTTCCAGGCCTCGGTGTGATATGTATGTGAAATTATATATTTGTAAACGCACTTACGACACAGGCGGAAATCGCAGTTTGGGGAGTTTTATTTAAAAACGTCTTATAATTAGAAATTGTTTGTCCAGTTTTCCTCACGATGTTTTCCTTCGCCGCCCGTCAAAAGTCAAAGTTTGTACTTAACAGGTTTCGATCCCGTCTTTGCCTCCTTGCCCACCACGAGGTTGAACGAATAGTATTATCATGGAAAAAAATGCTTATTGCAAATCAAAAATCTTCAGCAATATGCTATGAACAAAATATCAGGCGCATTTTTTTTAGGTATTTGACAGGAAGCCTAGGATTATATTTACATAACTGTCTCCTTTTAGCTTTTTCTAGGGGAAAATCGCGATTATTGAATCATGCTATCCCACTTTGATCCCATTTAGTGTGCCGTTTTTAGAGATCGAATATTGTTTTTTTACCAATAATTAGGGCAATGGCCTTCTAGATTTGTAGACTGAGCTCTTGTGGAATTTTCCCCAAACTGATTTCCCACCCAACGCATGACCTCATTGTTCAACAATGTAAGAAGGTCTGTCTTGCCAAGAGACGCTTTGTTTAGCCTTAATTTAAGGAAATAAAAATCTGATGTAGAAAGTTAAACAAGCTGTCCATTGGCACTCGACAGACGGATTCCCTGATGGTAAGCAATCAGCGCCGCCCATGGACACCCGCAACACCAAAGGAGTAACGAAGGAGTAACGAGTGCGTTGCCGGCCTTTTGGGGATAGGGGTAGGCCTTTAAAGATTCGGGAAGGGATAGGGCCGCCGGTAACCTTACTCACACGGCGAAACACAACACTGTGGGTTGTTTCACGTCGGTATTTTGTGAGGCCGTGGTATCACTCCGGTCGAGCCGAGTCATCCGTCCCGACGCTTGGCTTTCCCACACTTAATAGAAACACACGAAATAGAAATTTGTTACTACTAAAACCTTTACTGCCAATTAAATCATAATAATACGTCCGTTGTAAGCCTGCTCTTCGTAAAATGTAAATATATACAAATAAATAAAAAACACCAACCTCGTTGTTACCAATGAGGGTTTTAGCAATACTAGAAGCGCTAATATCTAAAAAGTTTAGAAGCTAATTTAACTAGAAGGTTTTAGCGTGCTAATTTCAAACTACTGGTATCGTATACTTATATTCGTGACTTTTTTTTCTTATCTCTTCTTGTCACTGGTATCTAGCAACTAGCCCATATCTTTCCCGTTAGAAATCTATTTCTTAATTCGTTTTTTTATGGTGTTAATAATATTTTGTTGCTGTTCTCATATTTTTTTCAGCTTTATATAAGCTGAAAATATTAAAAGTAATAATTAAAAAATTATTAGTATATACTACCTGAAGTTTTAATAATAAAATAATTGAATAATATTTAATTAATTGAATAACATATTGAAATACAAAAACATAAATGTTCAATATTAACAAAGATGCATTTTGAGATTTATCAAAAACAATTTCATATCATCATCTTTCTGCCCTTGTCCCGTTTTATTTGGGGTCGGCGCAATATGTTTTTTTTTCTTCCATTCTGTCTTGTCACCCATCACGCTATAACTTACTCCTTTATCTTCCATATCATTTCTCACACAATCCATCCATATTTTCTTTGGTCTCCCTCTCCCTCTCCATCCATCCACATTTACTCATGGCTTTTTTTGTAACATGCGTTTCATCCCTCCTTTTGACATGGCCATACCAAGATAAACGGTTCCCTTTCAACTTTTCAGTCACTGACGCCACTTTCAAACTTCCTCTAATATACTCATTTCTCACTTTATCCATTCTCTTCACACCACACATCCATCTCAGCATTCTCATCTCTGCTACATGCAATCGCTTTTCATCCGTCTTTTTCAGAGCCCAACATTCTGACCCATACAGTAGGACAGGCCTTAGCACTGACTTGTAGATTTTACCCTTCAACCTGAGGGGCATCCGTAGGTCGCAAGTTGTTCCAGTGACCTGTCACCATTTCATCCATCCTGAGTTGATCCGATGTGCTACGCCTCGGTCTATCTCACCATTCCCTTGGATAAGCGACCCAAGGTGCCGAAAATCATAACAAGTTGGTATGGGCGTTCCGGCGAGAGCTATGGGCACAAGACTAGAGAGACCGCCAGAATCGCAGAAAAGGTACTCTGTTTTAGTTTTGCTCAATTTTAGGCCAACACTCTCCAGTCTTTGCCACCAAACCTCTAACCTGCTCTGGACCTCTAGGGCACTCTCGGCAACCAGCACAATATCATCGGCAAACAGTATATACCAGGGAGCTTTTTCCTGAATGTCCGACGTCAGAGCGTCCATTATTTTCAGAAAGAGGTAAGGACTGAGAGCAGACCCTTGGTGTAAACCGACAGCCACATTGAACTTGTTAGTGGTACCCGCTGCAGACCGGACTTGTGTACTGCAGCGACTATACATTGATCGGATCAACTGCACATACTTCCCAGGCACACCTTTCTCCTTAAGGGCCCACCACAGAACCTCACGAGGTACCCGGTCGTATGCCTTTTCGAGGTCAACGAATACCATGTGCAAGTTTTTATGTGCACCTCTGTATTTTTCGCACAACTGGCGTATAGCAAATATGGCATCCGTTGTACTACGACCAGGCATAAAACCGAATTGGTTATGCGAAATTTCATTCTCTTCTCTCAACCGCCGTTCAATAACTTTCTCCCATACTTTCATGGTATGCGACATGAGCTTTATTCCTCTATAATTGTTGCACTCAAGCACATCACCTTTGTTTTTAAAGATGGGCACCAAAGAACTGTTGCACCATTAATCAGGTATGGCTTACAACAACTGCAACAATTTATTAAAGAACAAAGCCAACCACACCCATCCATCTACTCTTAATAACTTCCACACCTCAACTGGTATTCCATCTGGGCCAATGGCTTTACCATTTTTCCGACTTCCTCCATACTAACCATTTTCACTAACCCCACATTAACTGGTTTATTCTCTAAAACCCCACTCCAATTATTTTCCTCATTCATAAGTCTTTCAAAATATTCCTCCAGCTTCATTTATACTTCGATCATTCATGTCTCCTATCTCTATCATTCTGTCCATCACTCGCTCTTTGAACTAATTCGCGCAGTCATTCCTCTCTAGCCTGTGCCATTTTATTCTAGGGGGCGGGCGCTCTTTGGTTTTCCTACAATGAATTTGAACCACTGATGTCATAACCAGGAGTCTGTGTTGCGAGACTAAGTCTTCTCCTGGCAGCACTTTGCAATCCAGCACATACTTTAAGTGGTTGCGCCGAACTAGAAAGTAATCTATTTGCGTCTTATGATTACCACTTATACGTGGCCACAGGAGTTTATCTTTTTTCTGAAACCACGTATTGGCTACTGCTAGATCAAATGTAGTAGCGGATTGCAATAGTGTCTCTCCTTCATTGTTTGGATTTCCGAAACCGTATCCGCCATGTAAGAGTACATGGCGGATACGGTTTCGGTTTCAAACATATCTCTCATTCTTCCCACATTTCCATTAATATATCACTATTAATAATCACCTCCTACCTCACTATCAACTCCTAATGTACTTACAGGGATGTCCAAAAAAAAAACAATTTCATATGAAATATTAAAATAAAAAATACTCATTTAACATTTAGCAAATTAATTTTAATCAAAGTAAAGCAGATTAAATTTAACATTTTATTTAATCTACAACAATCAGAAATATTTAAAACGTTATAATTATGTTACTAGAATGCCATGCTTACGAAATAAGTTGGGGCCAAAATTACTTTCAATACGTTTGAACAAGACCTAAAAAGTGCAAAAGGCTTGAAGTGTTTTATTAAGATCGAAAAATCATTACAGTAAAGGAAATGCAATAATTACTTTCAATACGTTTGAACAAGACCTAAAAAGTGCAAAAGGCTTGAAGTTTTTTATTAAGATCGAAAAATCATTACAGTAAAGGAAATGCAAAAGGTACTCTACTAAAAGCGAAAGTTACGTTATCCAAGGCAAATACTTCTAGCGATCAACCTAACTTTTGTTTGACAAGCCTCTCGAATTGTTCCAAGCCAGGTATGTTTCCCGCAACATAAAACTGTTGTAGAGCGCAGAGTTTCATCCACGATGCAAGATTTGGATAGCTAAAAAGCAAAAAATGAAAATACATTAGATTAGCTACAAGAAATAATAAAAGATGTACGTTTTAAAACGTGGGGAGCCAAGCTTCGACACAAATGGGTCGGCTCGACCGGATTTGATACTATGGCCTCACAGAAAACAACAGCAGCAATGTGTTTCGCCTTGTGAGTGAAGTTACCGAAGGCCTCAATCTTCACGCCTCCATCCTCAATACACAAATCCCCTATCCTTAAATTACTACTAATAACGCAGTGCCGTGGGTGCGGTTATAATTGTTGTTCCAGGGCACCCAGACCTGGAACAACAATTTGTGGACTCGAATCGAACCCGCGACACGTTGCACTGCAGCCGGTTGCCCAGCTACCGCACCAAACGTGCAGTCAACGATTACACACACAGACACAACGCATCTGTGGTAACTCCTTTGGTGTTGCGCGTGTTTATAGGCGGCGATGATTGCTTACCATCAGGTAATGCGGTAGCCCGTTCTCCGTCCTACTTCATAAAAAATAACTTGTCATAGTCACAGTCAACTGGTTTTATTTATTTATTTATTTATTTAACACTTTATGTACATACAAAATAATATATACAAAGGCGGACTTAATGCCCGAAGGCATTTTCTACCAGTCAACCTCAAGGGTGATGCAGAGAAGTGTTAATAATAGGTTTTAAACAAGCACACAATGATTAAAAAGTACAGGCATGTAAGGCAACATTTACATATAATACAAAACATAATATATGAATACAATAAATCTAATCTACAAATACACATATAACAAATTAACTAAAATTCGCGGGTTACTCACGTGTAAATGTTGAGAAAAGCTTTTCTCAACATTTACACGTGAGTAACCCGCGAATTTTAGTTAATTTAGTATGTCTCACGATAGTTATTATAAAAACACATATAACATATAAATAATACATAAATAATATAATTAAATATGGGAAGAATAGATTACGAATATATACAAGAACAAAAACAACAATACCTACACTAATTAGTGGAATCTGTCAGTTTCTTTAGCAAGTAATTCCGAACTTTAAATTTGAAAGATAGCCGACTGGTTGCCGTCCTGATATCCATGGGCAACGCATTCCACAGCCCAGTTTTACGAGCCACTAAATTAACAGTATATCCTGTTTACACTGTACTATTCTTGCAGCTCTCTATTTCTGACAGCGATTCACTTTCTGTGCGGTTCACAGTTCTAAACTAAGCTCACTCACCATTCTGATACAAACTCGCTTTTAATATCAATCCCTTTACCCTTCAACTAAACAGTCATAGGACAGATATTCAGTCAAACGACTAGTTATTCTATTCAAACGACTTATTATTCAGACCGTCTGTTGGATGGCTTATTTAAGTATGTAGCTGAAATATTCCGAATAGCTTCTTTCTGGGTGATGCTTCTCAACATGTTCTAATATTAGGTACTTGGTACATTATCCAAATAAAAAAAAGTAAAACTTATCAGTATTGAAGGCATTTTTAAATTATTATGGAAGTCGGCAATAATTTAAATATATTTTTTTGAAATACTCACTCTTCAGCATCAATCGGTAATACAACATGCATGGAACTCAAAGTAGAAACACAGCAAATGTCTGCGAGTGTAACCTCGTTGCCAGTCAGCCAAGGTTTTGAGTTTGTTAAGAACTTCTCCATGAATTCATACGCTTTTTTCATCTTAGCCAAATTCTCTGGACGGAATGATGTTTCTCCCCAAAACAATACTGGTTCCTGAAAAAAGTATGTACTTAAGGTTCAATATTAAAACTTTTGTTAATTGCCGTTTTTTAGCTGTACCTATGTGATAAACAAGCTTGAAGCCACAATTGGGTTCTTATAGTTTTGACTTAGAATACTTAAATTGTACTAAAGGTATACCGGTCGTGGTGACACAAAGGCGCCCGATTTTCATGCATAAGGGTGCGGATTCGACACCTGCCAAGTGCCCATGTGACTTTTTCCGAGTTATTATGTACTTTCTATGATTATTTAAACACCACTGACATACAGTGAAGTAAAACATCGTGAGGAAACCTGGACTAATAATTTTGAAAACTTCAATCTCCCTTTTTTAATTACATAAGTTAAAAAACGAATTACCTGTTGGTAAGAAATCAGCGCCGCCCATGGTCACTCGTAGTGTCAGGGGGTTACCGCATGGGTTATTGGGGATTGAGGATAAAGAGGGGGAGGAAAAATTGAGCCTCCGGTAACCTCACTCACACGGCGAAATATAAGACAATAACAAACTTTAAGCAAGCGTGGTGATTTATGCTCAACTATTTTCGGTGCTCAGCAGTGGGCACTTATATGCTGATGATGTGATTATTATACTTTTTATTGCACACACATAGATTTATAAAAAAATACAATTAAAAAAAAATATGTACAAAGGCGAGCTTAACCCAGAGTTGGGTTCTCTAACAGCAAACCTTAGAGCGATAGAGAGATTGGATATGGAAGGGTAAAGTCATAAGTGCGCAACAACACATTACTGAGAAAATATAAACACTATAACAATATATAAACACAATAAATATATATAATATAATAAAGCTACACAATATATAAACATAATACATAAAAATACAATATATACATATATAAATACATACATATATAGTCATGTTGACAGTAAATGTTCGTTCGTTAGTTCGTAGGTTCGTTCCCTGAAAACATCTAACGATGAGCTCTCGCGTATAGTGTGAAGGAGAGAATTCCAAAGCCTTCCAGCACGAAAGTTGAAGGATCCATCATAACGGCTCGAAGTATGAGGAGGGACACGAAGAAGAAGAGATGAAGAGGAGCCACAGGGTTTGCCTCTAGGAACGAGGAATTCAAAGCGTTCCCGAAGATAGCTTGGTGAGTAGGGGTTGTGGAGAAGAGAGTAGAGGAAAGAGAGAATGTGAGCATCTCGACGTTTTCAAATAGGCAGCCACTTCAGACGACTCCGAAATTCTGACACATGGTCGTATTTCCGAAGGCCGAAAATGAAGCGGATGCACAGATTCTGCAAACGTTCGAGTTTGTCAAGAAGTTCCTCAGTCGCATCAAGGAAGCAGACATCAGCATAATCTAGTAAAGGGAGAAGGAGCGACTGAGCAAGAGTAATTTTTGTTGAAAAAGGCAGGAACTTCTGGAGACGTTTGAGTGATTGAAACGAGTGAAACACCCTCCTCCATACTTCTGCAATGTGTAGACCCCAGGACAAATGACAATCCATTAGGACACCCAAGTTCTTGACATAAGTAGTATATGATATGGCAACGTTATCGTATAAGACTGGTGGAGGAGACTGCAGTTTATTAAGAAAATATCTGCCACCAACAATGAGAGCTTGCGATTTGGTAGGATTTGCTAATAGTCCAAAACTTTTAGCCCATTTACTTATGTTTCCAAGATCATTATTGATGGCATCAATTGCTTTAGGAAGTTCTTCGAGTTTACAGTGTTGATATAGCTGCAAGTCGTCTGCTTGAAACAAGTATCTTAGTGATAGCGTTAATAAAAACGGAGAAAAGTAGCGGAGAGAGGACGCCACCCTGAGGAACACCCGCCGACAGGTCGCACCAATCAGATGAAACATCATCAGAGCGGACCGACTGCGAGCGACCTCGAAGATAAGAATTGAACCATGCAGTTGCAGAAGGAGATACATTTAGTGAGGATAGGATACCGAGGAGGATGTCAAAGTCAACTGAGTTAAAAGCACTGCTAAAGTCCAACAACACCATTATCGTCAAAAGTCTATTCTCAATGGCCAGTCGGATGTCATCGGTTATTTTAACCAGTGCCGACACTGTGCAATGACCAGGGCGAAAACCAGATTGGTATGGACTTAGCAATCTGTTAGAGGAGAGGTAATGGGACAGTTGACTGTTAACAACACTCTCGAGGACTTGAGATGGGATAGGAAGTATGGATATGGGACGAAACTCAGAAAGTGAGGACGGATTGGAGACTTTGGGTAATGGCAACACATGAACTTTTTTCCAAGCTGATGGAAAGGAGCCAGTGTAAAGGGAATGAATGTATGTTTGACATGAATGGTAAAAATAATAAAAATGAAAGCCGAATACTTACAACAGTACCCCTTAAAGATGGAAACAGTATTCCACTATCGAAATGAAGTCGTTGATCAATGATAGCTCTCTTTTCTGGGTCAGCTGGGTACAGATCATCATTCTTGCCGTATTTCGTCACCAAATAAGTTACAATAGCATGACTGGAACAAATGAGGTTTGGATTTATAACAATTATTACACCATAAACTTAGCACTGAGTTTCTTGCTCGTTTTTTTCCACAGGAATCTACACTTTGGAACGAGCAAAAATAGCTTTACTGGAGGACAGACGGACAGACTGACATGCATAAAGCTAAACCTTTTGATATTATTATTATTTGATGCTTGACATTTAAAACTGGTGATTTGAAATAAATAATTTGACTTTGACTTCGTCTCTTTATCAACCGCACACATATCGGCGTAAAAGGTTTTTAGTCAGTAGTAAGTTCATCCTTTTTGAAGCGGCTGCCAGTTATTTTGCAGGTCGCATCCCAGGTATGGTAAACAATCGACGTTATAACCTAAACAATTTCTTACTAACTACGCGATTTTTCTAAAAACTAAACTACACGGACTTTGGAGGATTAATAGTGCCCACTGCTGAGCAAAAGCCTCTTCTCATACAGAGAAGGTTAGAGCATTAATTACCACGCTTGCTCAATACGGGTTGGCGATTTCAAACTTATAATTAGAAATTATAAGTCCAGGTTTCCTCACGATGTTGTAAAATAATCATAGAAAGTATATAATATAACTCGGAAAACGTCACATAGGTACTTGCCAGGTTTCGTAACCACACCCTCATGCATGAGAAGCGGGCATCTGAACCTCCGGGCCACCACGACATACTTATTCAGTGCAATCAAAAACAGTTTTGGCTGGTAATATTAACACTGTGCTAAGGTACTTTAGCAAGACACTTATAGTGAAAACTTAGGTACTTAGCCTACAGATTACGTTACCAATGTGACTTTACCGAGTCATATTATGTACTTTTTAAAATTATTTAGACACTGACATACGGCGAAGGTAAATATCGTTAGGAAATCTGGATTTTAGTTTGAAATCGCCAATCCCCCTTGAGCAAGCGTGGTGAATAATGCTCAAACCTTCTCCATGTGATAAGAGGCCTTTGCTCAGCAGGGGGCACTTATAGGCTTACCTGTCCCAGATATAAAAATCATTGTCAGCTAGCATCGGAACAGTATGTTGGGGATTCACCTGAAAAAAAAAATACTTTTATTGTGTTTTATTGTTTTATTGATCCACAAAACTGTGACTGAAGGGAGGTTGGTAGAAACATCACCATTATAAATCTTACTTTATCTGTGTAGTATTTACTCATATTTACACGTGTGGTATCTATACATTTATATTACTGGAGTATGTGTATTTTTTCTTATAATAAAAAATATTTTTCTTATACTTTATTGCACCTACCATAATATTCTCTCTGCATTACACTAAGGTTGGCTAGCGAGAATACTTATGTAAGTTTTATTAAATTTGTAAGTTAGTAAGATTGTAAGTTGTATTGTAAGGGGTAATCTTTGGAACGTGTAAAGAAAAAATTATGTAAAAAAGCATATTACAAAGTGAGTGATTATATTGAGGATAAGGATGCTTGGAGACACGCTGATCCTGCTTCACAGGATAATATACCTATCCTCTTATATATAAAAATGGATCGGCAAATGTGTTGGTAAGCGCATAACTCAACAACGCCTATACCAATTTTGCTAATTCTTTTTTTGTTGGGTTTGCTATTGCCAGGAGAAGGTTCTTATCAAAGAAAATATAACAAAAGTAGAGGGAAAGATTAGGAAAAAGTAACCCTTTGATAGCGAGATAGTGGGACCCGGGCGAAGCGGGGGCGGGCCGCTAGTTATATATAAAAATGGATCGCAAAATGTTTTGGTAAGCGCATAACTCAACAACGCCTGGACCAATTTTGCTAATTCTTTTTTTGTTGGGTTTGCTATTGCCAGGAGAAGGTTCTTATCAAAGAAAATATTAGAAAAGTAGAGGGGAAGATTAGGAAAAAGTCACACTTTGGTCGTAAGCGAGATAGTGGGAGACCCGTGCAAAGCAGGGGCGGGCCGCTAGTACGAAAATAAATGTCCCAGTGGATCTTTGCTTGAACGGAAATTCTTAGATTTTTGTAAAAACGCCATTTTTATTGTTAAACTTGATAAAATTGTTAATGTGATAGCCCTGTAACCTATTACAATTAGTTAGACTAGCAGAATGTAAGCCAAAACAAACAAACTAAATAATATAACAAAGAATCTTTATGTGGCACTGATTTAAAAAGAGTACCTAACCATGGAGTTTCTTGCTCGTTTTTCTTCATCGGAATCTACACTTTGGATCGAGCATTTAGCTTCACTAAGAGGACTGACCGACAGACTGAAACTTCACATCTTTAAAATTTTGTTCGACGTTCAAAAGCGTCTGTATGGATGTAATTGAAATAAATGATTTTGACTTTGACTCTGACTCTGACCGGTGGTCGGATTGCCAAAAATTCTTTCACTGATAGATAGCTACATTCATTCTGGGTGCTATAAGCTATAAAACATCACGCTACGATCAAATGAAGCCGAGCAGCGGGTGAAACCGCGCAAGAGTAGTATCAAATATATTGGTTGGTGGAAAATCAAATTAATCTTGTCAAAATATGTTCCCGTGGTGCTTAATATTAATTCCAAACTATACTTTTAAGATCACTAATGGGTGTGGTGATTATTAATAGATCTTTACCTATGAAATTCCGTTCTGCAGTACTGGCCATTTCAAATCAAAATAGTTTTTGTTAGGCTAAGGCTAATTAATTTTGTTTTAAAAACATGGGATTCTTTTTCCAAAAGTAGTCATTTGTTTATTGATTAGAGTTACATTTTCATCGCATTTCAAATAAAAAAATTCGTTGAAATTTTTTCATGCAAAACGGCAATTTCATAGGTAAAGACCTATTATTTTTAATTCCTACGTGTTAAAGGCTGTTGTTCACCAGTAGCATTTATAAACTGATGATGATGAATATCAAGTTTAATATTTAATACTGCATGGTCATTGTGTTTGTAGACTATTCTTGTTTCAAGAACCACTAGTCACTCTTCTCAAACTGATAATACGGACATAATATTTGACGCGCAGATAGTGATACTGATAACAAGAATTATTTTTATAAATGCTCTAGTGAGACCATCTGTTAGTTCAATGAATTCGCATAAAGTTAAAATACCTTCAAGTATTCTTCTCTTAAATGTTCTCCTTCGAATAAATTGACGTCAACCATTTGCACATTCTCAAGGTCCAAAGCTTCTATAGCCATGAACACAGACCTCACTGGAGGACTCGCATCTATTTTGTATAGTGTCAGTACCATTGTTAATGAACCCTGGAAAACAAAGAGTATTAAACAGTAGCTTTTGCCCGCGACTTTGTTCGCGTGGAATAGTGACTTTTGCAGATATTTTGATTAAAAAAATATCCTTTGTCCCTTTCCGAGCTCCAAACTATACCTGTACCAAAAAAAAAATGGTTTAGTAGTTTAGGCGTGAAGAAAAGACCGAGAGACAAACAGAGTTACTTTTGCATTTATAATATTAGTTTGGATTAACAACACACAAAATGCTGTCTTCTCCAATACAAAGTTAAAGAATTGCAAACGGGAAAAAAACATCACAAGGAAACTTCTAATTATAAGTTTGAAATCGCCAATCCGCCTTGAGCAAGCGTAGTAATTAATGCTCAAACCTTCTCCAAGCGATAAGAGACTTTTGATCAGCTGTGTGCACTTATCGGCTGATATTGTTGTCTGTTATATAATATCCTGGATCTAGATACGAAGATGGAGCAACGAATCTCAGTTCGGGATAGGGTTATTAACAATGATATTATAAGTACTCATAAAAAGGTGTAGATAGGTTACAAGCGCTCAGCAAGTGATACATTACAATGTGTCTAACTAGCCACACATTTTTCATATGTCTCTTTTGCACTCGCGATTATTTAATCATGCCATCTTACTTTGACGTCTAAACATACGAATTGTTTATGTGTGTATCAGTGTGTCGTTTTTTGAAAATCGAATTTCGTTTAGGTAACTTATCAAGACCATTTCACTTATAATATCATTGGTTATTAATATATAATTAGTTGGTATCCATTACTTCTACTTGTGTATTCGGTTACAAATTTACGTTGGAAATAATAAGAGTTAGTTGTTAGGTACATAAGATGTTGCGGGGCAAGCAATGAGGCACCGCGGCCACGGCCTAAAGCAGGTGATCGAACGGGAGTTTTTAGTCAGTAAGTGTCTGACACTCTCTCTCACCTCTTACCCTGGGAGAAGCCATTTGATGATTTTCCCTTGACAAAAAACGGTACATAATGTTCTATTTTTGTATGTGTCATACTTGTTTATCTTTATGTCACCCACTAACTTGTACACATTATCATAATATGCAATAAATTTATTTAAGTATGAAGCATACTTATGTCAACAACAAATTAAGTTGTCAATGAAATAATATTTACTTAAATTCCAGGCTCATTAGTAGTATTATATGTTATTCAGAAAGTGCAACAATAGACCTCAAACTAAAATGAAATCACAATATCATTAAAACGGAAATTTAGAATTTATTTATATATTTTTTTTTTGTTTTTTTTTTTTTAATTAAATGTTTAATGTGCACCTTATATATTTATTTTAGTTGCCAGTTGTTTAAAAGTCAGAAAAAATACCTTCCATAAAAAACGAATAAGTAATTTGAATAACATTTAATAAAAATGATTTTAGGAATGATAAAACCTACTAAGAACCCCAAGGTACTTGCTTATCAGAATTTATTAGCCACACACACAAGACGTAATAATAAATGTTTACTAAATACCTTAGTTCCAAGTGTTATCAGAGTGTTGGAGAGCGCGGTCACTCACACAATCGTGTTGTATCAAGTTGTGGAACGGAGTGCCAACATTGAGGTCGTAATATAGCCGGTTCGGAAACGTGCCGTTATGAGCAAAGCGAATGTGGATGCGGCACTTTTTTACGAAAAATTTTATTAAAGTGGCTTTTAACCAGAATCTTTTTAACCCAACCCATAATTTTTAGACACAAATATATTGTAACCTATTTTTTAGCGATTGGTTAATTCATCAAACCCAAAGCGAACGTTCGATTGAGGTTTGATCCTCGTACAAATCTTAACTAATATTATAAATACGAAAATTAGTTTGAATGTTTGTTACTGAGTCCATGTAGATTTTTTTTGCTATGCTTCATTCAAACTCGCGTTTTAGTCAATCCGTCTAAGCATATTCTTGGTGAAGACTCTTTCTCATAGTGTACACTAATGAAGGATGCAACTGGGGACCCAAAAAATTTTAAACCAAACTTTGTATCTATAGTAAAATATCTATAGGAACTAGTGGCTTCTACATTTTAAAAATCGTGAATAAGATTATCTTTTACCATCCTATGTTTAAAGATTTTATTTCATACATCTATTGGTTGTGGTTCTAAGTATTTTGAGGCGTACCTATTGCATACATTATCATCACTTCACGTCACTTCCGACAGTAATCGCCGTCCAAGGCCAAGTATAAGTGGAACTATTGTCGCAAAGGATGGATGTCCTTAAAAAATTGATAAGTTTGAACTTTTTCTCTATTATAAGCTATATTTTCATGGCCAATAAGCAATAGAAAATGCATGCTGCCCATAGTACCTATGTCATATTTATTGATTGTTTGATGATTGATGACTTACTCATGTGCATTTATACAAACTTTTATTTATATTTTATTTATGATGCATTTCTTACATAATAAAATGACGCCCAGTTTCTGAAAGGCTGATCAATGTTATAATCAATTTAACAGGAGATTAGTTAATTTTAGCGTTTACAAGCCTTTCAGAAACCGGGCGTAAGTGCCAAAAATGAGGGTGTTAAAACAAGACTCCCCCTTCCAAAGACCATAATCTCCTAACATCAAAATGTAAACTAGGATAAGATAGATGCGTGCTTTTATTTGATGGTAAGCCAAGAACAAACAGTTTGAGATTGAGTATGAGTCAGGGTTCGTACCTACACAGTAAAGAAAAAGCCCTACCAATCCGGGATGTAATTAATTAAAATATTAACTTTTATTTAGTCTTGTATAAGGAACTGTTTTGATCTTCTTCGCTTTTTATAATCTTGGTAGAATGATTATGATTGTTATCATCAGGAGAAGGAGTGTTATACCCAGTCGTGTATAATACATGATTTACAATCTGTTTTCATTTAGGGTACATCTTGTTTTTGAAGGGCAAGGTCATCCAATTACCATAGACGGGGCCTTATAGGGCTGATGTTCAGCCGGGGTTGCGGGGTAAGCGCAATGAGGCACCACGACCTCGGCCCAGAGCAGGAGATCCTTCTCCTGCTCTCCTAACTCGGCCTACAGCAGGAGATGGAACAGGGGGGCTTTTAGTCAGTAAGAGCCTGACACTCCCTCTCGCCCGGCCCTGGGCGGGAGAAGTCATTTGATGATTTTCCCCTCACATAAAACGGTCATACAATTACATTTAGTCCTGGTTATTTTCTATTTCAAAGTTACAGTTACTGCCCCCGCATATAAGCTAAATTTTGAATGAAACATATGTTGTTACATTGCAGAACTTATGTACATGAAGATTAAATTAGGCGCTTAAACAGTGTTTCAACTTCATTTATATATTACCTTTCATCGAACAATAAAAAAAAATACGATTTCTGGGCAGTCCATTTTTTTGCAATCTTCTTTTTATTTCTCGACTAATATTTGTTGAGTGTTTGAAACCCTATATTAAAGTAATGCATGTGGCCAATGAAATAAATTTCTTCATTAAAATAATTATAGGATCTGATTGCGCTGTCTATGTGAAAATGACAGATGTATGTGGGAATTCTTAGAAGAAAATACTGTTTTCTATGGTACCTAGATACTTTAATAATATGCAAAGCTATTTTATAATTACAATCTTAAATTAATGCAGTTGCAATTATTATTGTTATGGCAACACGGAGGCAAACATTATTAAAAATAAATTTAAATCCCGGTGTCACCTGAAGATTGTCAAAATCAAAGTCAAATCATTTATTTTAAATATAACACTATGCAAAGTATTTTTAAACGTCAAACAAAAAATAAATATCAAAAAGTTCAACTTTGTGTCTCTCAGTCTGTCTTCTAGTGAAGCTATTTGCTTTTAAAAACAGTTACCTACTCGTATGTACCTTATCACGATATTTTTTTCTTGTTTATTTCTTTTTTCTTACGAATTGTCGCCTCGAATACTGGATTTCCTAGTTCAGGCCCCTAATATTCTGAACTACTAACTAATTGTAGCCTTAATTAAAACTATATATTGTAGATTAATATATACACAATATACATTTTTTTATGGATTACTAGAATACCGGATTACCTATGGTCACTGCAATACCAAAGAGTCACTACGAAGTGCGTTGCCGGCCTCTTGTGGGTTGCTAGAAATTTGATAGAGGATAGGAGGCAGGGGGGGGGGTTTCTCGTTTTAAAGTGTAGATTTCTATGAAGAAGAACGATTATTATTCCCTATAATAGATTACGCTGATGTTTGTTACTTCGACCTGAATGCAGATATCCTCAATAAACTTTACGGACTTATGAATAACTGTTTTTCCTGCGCAAATATAATCATGTTTCTGCACATCGGCTGCAATTTAGTGGTTGCCCACGCGCCAGCTTGGGAGCAGAGGGCGTTAACTATTCTATACTTTGTTTTAAACTCACCTTCTCCACTTAGCAGTCTTGTCTCCTACTTCCAATACTCATGCCACAATAGATATCTGCGATCATTTAATAATCGTCTCCTCAACTATAGTGGTATAAGTAGCTCTCTTCTTCAGTGGTTTATGAGCTACCATAACAGCAGATATACGACTGTTAGGATAGGAAACTGGCATAGCAACATGAAAATAACAAAGGAAAATTAACAAATTAAAGGTACAGCACAGGGGTCAATAATCGGGCCTAATAAATATCTACTGTATGCCAGTGATAATACAATAGGAGTAGGCTCTGTATACCAGTTTTCGGATGATACTTGTATCGTGGTGGCTGACAAGGATACAAAAAGGCCGAGCGTCTATTTCAAACGAACTTCGACTTAATATGTAAATGGTCGCACTATGTTGGTTTATTCATAAATGCTGACAGAACCAAAGCAATTAACAACATTCTTCGCATAATCCAGTCACTTACACACCATATATCGAGGCATAGCCATGCCTGCCTTCGCGTAGAATGTTCCGGCAGATGTAATTTTGAAACACTAGAATTCGTCAAGGAACACAAATAAATATATTGGTCTCCGGTACCGGAGGCCCAATCCTTCCCCTCCCCCAATCCCTTCTAAATCCTTAATCCCTAAAAGGTCGGCAACGCACTCGTAACTCCTCCGTTGCGAGTGTCCATGGGCGGCGCTGATTGCTTACCATCAGGTAACCCGTCTGCTCGTTTGCGGACATATAAAATAAAAAAAAATCTCATAATCCACTCTAAATTTAATTGATAATAGATCTGTTATGGGCAGCATAATTGTACTTAAACTTAAGATTACTTACACCTAGCTCCAGCTGACTCCATAATTCGTTATGGTCACAGCAGCTATGGGAGTACATATAAAACTAACTTGACAAAATCTACAAATTGCAACAACGAATACTCAAGATTATTGTACCACTGAAAAGTAAAACAAAATACCAAAATTGACTTTCATTTCAATCAGCTCTACATATAATTTTTGTTGCGTCATTTAGTCGGTTCTATTATGTAAGAACTTTATCACACTAATATTTAGTCTAAGCTAGGGAAAAAGAAACTACCCTCAAGCAGACAGTCTCGGATTGACCAGTCCCAATTGACGGCGCCCGTTCCCATAAGAAATAATTAGAAATCTCTGGAACGTTCTTGGTTTATGACAAAAAAATGACAATTCATGAATTTTCATGTAACCCATTACTTTAGGACTTCATTTTAAAATGAAAATGTTCTTTTAATTGGTTTTAGCTTATCCTTAGTAATAATATAATTATTATGTTAAGACTCAAAAAGAAAACTAGTGCCCTCAACCGTAGCATATAATACAATAGTTGTTGAATAATTATCATTTCATTTCAAGTTACACGATATAATTCTACAGGGTGTAAAAAGACACTTAACGAAGCCGAAAGCCACGTATTCTACCCATTATTTCGATCATTTTTTTTTCTTTAAGACCATAGCTGGGACTCCACGGGTTCTCGAGATATTGAAGGTCAAAGATGCATTTTTAAATATTTTTTTTTTTCGCAATCGAATTCTAAAAACTTTTTTCCAAACAAACATTACCTGAATTTTCTAAATAAATTACGCATTTGAAGTGTAATGTACGTAATAAATAAATGCAGACAGGCACAAAAAACATCGTGCATCTCAGTAGCATTTTTATTTTACAGAATTGTTTTGTTGTTGCGAAGTAAAACGTCGACCTACGTACTTATCACAGCGTTTTCATGCTAAGCTGTGAACCTACGCACACAATGACACGAAGCCCGTTTGCTTTACATTGCGCGCAATAAATTATTTTTTTTGATACCTAAAAATAAAAGTCTTTTCCCAGTGATAATTTTAGCGTAAAGCTACTTAGTTAGAACTGCAGTATACGTAGTTAACGGCTTCGTTAAGTGTCTTTTTACACCCTGTATAAATATTAGTATACAAGTTATTGGATTATGACTGCAAGCAAAAAGTTGAATTAAAAAATCTTGATTAGAATCACGTAGGTCTAAAGCGGCTTCCCCCGCCCTAAGCCGGGCGAGAGGATGAGTCTGACACGTGACTCGTGCTATCTCCGTGTGAACTTAACGAGCCAAATACATCTTGAGAAGACGACGAAACTCCAAAAGTCCTGGCTGGTTCCCTTTCTTGTAAAACTCGTATTCTTCACAACGATTTAACCATGCGCAAATGTTGGGGTACCTGCGAAATTCAGGCAATAAATTATTTTAACGGAAAAAGATAATAAGCAATTCCAATGTGAAAATCTTTGGAAAGCATGATTCAGTCTTAGAGTAATTTTTTTACTGAATAGGAAGAGAAACGAGCAGATGGATCATCTGATTGTAAGCGATTAACGCCACTTAAAACACCACAAAATTTATAGGTACATACGTAGCTAGCTGGCTTTCTAACAATGAGTTAGTTTGAGGGCAGGATGGGGTTGAAAATTATGATGACAATCTTCAATCAATAACAGTACTATTATCAATATTAATAATAGTATCAATAAATAGCTGAAAAAGTACACAAATATGCCGATCTTAAGGATGAAGTAACCAGAATCTGGAGATAGGATAAAGTCTACGTAGTACCGATTGTCCTGTCTTCGACTGGAGTAATTCCAAAACACCTTTTTCACAGTTTAAAATTATTAAGTATCAAAGACACCACATTCATAAAACTACAGAAAGCAGCAATTCTAAACACATGCCGCATAGTTGGGAAATTCATGCAGATTGATGAAAATGAAATATCACCACCTCCACCACCACTTCCACTCCAAACCATTGAACCAATAGATAGCCACGAACCACCAACAATTACGGAATAGCATTAGATAAATGTCTTTTACTTGGTATACGCCCGTAAATGACATTAATACCGGCCTCTGTGCTGAGAGCAAGAACGGTATCAATAATAGTACTATTATTGATCGAAGATGACAATGCATTCTAACTTGAAGTCTGAAAGTTTTGTGCAAAACGCACAGTTGTTGTCTGCTAACCATCCAACTATGGAAATGGAAATGTTGTCGTTTGGCCCGATGCCGATGGCAAAAAGACAAGACCAATGCGTTCAAAACGCACGATCGGATAATTACCTAATCATATAAAAACAACCTGTAATTTCAAAGTACATACGTTGCTTCATCAATAGGCAGTAATTCGTTGAGCGTGCTTATAGTAGCTACACAGCTTATGTCAGCTAGAGTGAGTTTGTTTCCAGCTAGCCATTTTGATCCAGTCAGAAATTTCTCCGTGAAATCATACGCTGACTTAATTTTGGCTACACCTCCGGGTTTTAAAGAAGTCGCAGTTCCAAAGAATATTGGTTCCTGAAAAACAGTATCTAAAGTTCCATGTTCTTTGTGGTTTTACTTTATTTACTTCATTGTGTTTCGCCGTGTGAGTGAGGTTACCGGAGGCCCAATCCTTCCCCTTCCCGGACCCTTCCCCAATTCCTAAATCTCCAAATCCCTAATCCCTAAAAGGTTGGCAACGCACTCGCAACTCCTCCGTTGCGGGTATCCATGGGCGGCTCTGATTGCTTACCGTCAGGTAATCCGTCTGCTGGTTTGCCGACTTATTACATAAAAAAAAAATTACTGAATGGTAGAATGTTATATGTTGTAAAGCTTTAACGTGTAACGGTTACAGTAATTAAAATAAACAACTGGAGGAAGGAGTTCGAAGGAAACGTTTTTTTTTTCTTTTTGAAAAGGGAAATTCATTAATTCTTCTCTCATCTAGGGTGTGCCGAGAGCCGCCATCTCCAAGCCGAAGCCGCGGTATCTTATTGCGCTTGACACCCGGACAGTAAAGGAAACTTGGGACTTCATATTAAAACTTTGAACACACCAATTCGTCTTAAACAAGCGCAGTGTCATTATTTATCTGGGTGATAAGAGGTATTTTCTCTGCAGTAGGTTGATTTTAGGAGGAGGTATCATGTGACAATTTCTGATTGTCATAAACATACCTATGTACAGTAAATTAATAAACAAGATAAAAATAGGCGGGTTCGTAATGTTGTAGTGGCAACTAATTTGCCTTTGATAGCCATTGCACACATACCTTGAAGAATGTTTTTGCAATGAGCGATGCTATCTCATTTAACACTATAATAATTGTTTCATTATTACAACCGGCTTATAACACTAACAACACATTGCACTTAGGAATATGATTACTTGAAAACATTCCATTACCATTCCATTCACTTATTAAAGGTATATTGAGCAGAACATGGAAAAATATTAGCTCCTTCAAGTAGAACTTTGACAAACCGTTATTTTTTTTTAACTTTTTATATGGGGAGTTTTCATAGTCGTAACGTGCTAGTTTTAACATACAAATTGGGCCAGAATTAATGAAAGAGTGAATTTTATTTCACCTAGTTTGTAGCTATACGACCATCAGTGGACGGAACTTTTTGATGATGATGATGATTATGATGATGATGATGATGATGATGATGATGATGATGATGATGATGTGGCTATACTTACATCATTTTCTCTCAAAGCAGGATAGAGAATACCGCTATCGAAATGTAGTTTTTGATCGATCATAGCTCTTTTTTGCGGATCATTTGGATACAAATCTGAATTATTTCCATACTTGTTTATCAAATATGTTATTATCGCGTGACTGTTAAAAATAAGAGCATAATATATTTATATTACCTATTACTTATTTTTTAAATAATATTTTTAAATATCTTTTGTTATAAGTATTTATATGAACCTGTAATTGTCTGCTAAATTAAGTATACATAAGTACTCACCTGTCTGAGAGTTGAAAGTCTCAATTAGTTAAATGCGGTATTGTGTGTTGTGGATTAATCTGCAAATGAATTAATCAATGACAATTATTTTCCATGAATTACCTTTTTTTTGTTTTGGAACTGGTGACTGTTTTTTTGCAGCACCGGCGTGAAGTTTTTTATAAAAAGGAGTAAATATATTATACGGACCATACGCCTTTTATAGTTTTAGGAAGAATAGTCGTGTGCATAACCTAAAAACACGTCTTATCACTTGATACATTAATGAACAAATTGGACACGCTGCATTTCCCAATAGGCGACTCTTTTGCAGCTTGTGACAAGTTCGAAATGATATTACCACTAGCTTTCGCTCGCGGCCTCGCCCGCGTGGTATGTTAGTAAAAAGTAGCCGGAGTGAACCCTATGCCTGTGCTAAATTTCATCCAGATCCGTCCAACCGTTTTGGTGTGATTGGGTAACAAACATTAAAACATTGTTACTTTTGCATTAATACTATTAATAAGAAGTAAGATTAGTAAGATGTGTACGATTGAACTTAAATACGAGACGCTAGACAAAAGGAAACAAATAAAATTTTGTACCTTTAAAAAATCATCCTTAAGGTGGTCATCATTCAAGAGGTCAGTTTCAACATATTTTACTTCGGGTAACTTCAAAGCCTCGATTACCATGTAAACTGCTCGCACTGGCGGACTTGCGTCCATCTTAAACAATTTTAACGCCATTCTAAACAGAGATGTTCACAACTATCAAGTTTATTCTGAAAATATAAATTACGTAAGTCTCCGTGACACGATATCTCTCGGCCCTAGACTTAAATTGAATGATCTTAGACATTCTATAATAGTAACAAAGGACGTGACAAGAAACATAGAGTCAATAAAGTTATTGGATGTGCAATCAAACATTGGATAAATATCAAGTGTGGGAGAGCCAAGCTTCGGCACGAATGGGTCGGCTCGACCGGAGGGATACCACGGCCTCACAGAATACCGGCGCGAAATAACCCACAGCGTTGTTTTCGCCATGTGAGTGAGGTTACCAGAGGCCCAATCCCTCCCCTTCCCAATCCTTATATCCGCAACCCCTGTGTCCCTTTGGGGATGTGCAATCAAGCACATCCCCAAAGGGCCACAAAGGGCCGGCAACACACTCGTAACTCCTTTGGTGTTGCGGCAGTCCATAGGCGGCGCCGATTGCTTACCATCAGGTAATCCGTCTGCTCGTTTGCCAATTTATATATCATAAAAAAATATGAAAAAAAAGGACTAATGTGTAACATTTTTTCTAGTTTCACTTACATTACATAATTATATCATTTGGAAAATAAGAATCTCTGAATCGATATCGCTTAAGCCTTTTACCCAATGTTTTGGGAGGAAAGTTTTATATTAAGTGGCAAAACCTAGAGATCTGTTGGGTGGAAAAACAAAGACAAAAATAATTTTACAACAAAACCATACGTAGCAAGTATTTTGAAATGTCAGAATAGAATAAAGGTATGTACAGTGCAGTCTGTCTGTCAGTGAGGCTAGGTGCTCGAAGAAGAACAAGACCGAAACATTACCTACCCTTTAAAAATATTTTTTTATAATAATATGCATGCTAACATATAACATATAATATAGTATCTAGATAAGATACGTAATTTATTAAAAAAAACAGTTCTTAAAAATGGAAAGGGATTAATTCTCTATTATATCGTCTCGAACATGGCATCACATAATCTGAACAATGAAATAAAAGAATTTATTTGTTCTTGCGCCTTAATAAAGTAAATTTTTAACTGAAATGTGTTTTATTTATATTTTGGTTCAACGTTATCCAGGTAGTACGAATAGAAGAGGACGTGCTTTACAGTACACCTTGGCAATGTACTCCCTAGAGTACATCGATTTTCGCGAAAACTGTGATAGGTAGTTTTTTTTCACAATTTTTGTGGCAGTCATCTGTGATCATAATATAGCAGTAAATAATAAAAAAATAAATTTTAGAATTATATTAATTTGCCAATTTAAGGGTTAAGGAGCTAATAGACCACCACTGACGGGACCTTATATAAAGGGCTGAAGTTTAGCCGGGGTTGCGGGGTAAGCGCAATAAGGCACCGCGGCCCCAGCCTAGAGCAGGAAAAAGAATAGGGAAAGTTTAGTCAGTAAGAGTCTGGCCCTCGCGCCCCCCACCCGGAAGAAGTCATTTGATGACTTTCCCTTCACAAAAAGGCACTCTTATCCTCAATATAATATTAATAATCTTGTTGATAAGTAGTTGGCTTGTTTGCACGATTCGCGGTTGAATGAGTTTTTATTAGAATTTAATATACTACTGAATTTATTATATAGAAGCTATTCAGTAATCTGTGATACTACTTCGTATTTTATTGCATATGTAATGCAAAGTTGGAGGCACAACCTTTTAATCTCAAAGTCATTTCAATGGATGTTTTGTGATTGTTATGACTTAATGATTAAGATACTGAACTATAAACGGTAATAAATATGAGTACTGAACAAGAATACCTAGTCCAAAATACTGCATAGTTCATTGTTTAATTTGCACTTTAAGTGCTTACTAAACATAAACAAGATAATTATTATTATTTCAAGGTTGATCAGGCGTCATTTGAGCTGTTTCTATAAACAGACGGTTTGCAATCAACATTCTTAACTGGTTTACCTGGTACCTAACTTGCATTAATAAGCTTCTTCGTCTACTCATATCAAAGATTAGGGTTAGGTTCAATGTTAATACAACAATGTAACAAAAAACAAATTTTGACTAGTTGTTCTTGTTTGTTTAATAGTTGTAAGTACGGGTAATAAATAACAGATGTTATCCGGTTTTTACGAAAAAATAATATTAGGAACTGCATAATTATATTTAGATACTTTATTATTTAAAAACAAAATAATGCTTATTTTAGAATTTAATACCATCTAGCGATAAATAATCGAACTAGCTAATATTATGTTAGTCTAGCGGTCTACAAGTTTATACTTCTTGCTAACAGATGTCGGTGTGTTTTAAAATGGTACATTTGCTATTCCATACCAGATGGCGCTCTAAGTCAGAACTTATATTATTGTTGTGTAATGGGGCCTTTTTATCCTATTACGGTGAAATTTTGCACACGCTGAGATCTGATAAAAATACACGACTAACTATAAGAATACTAAAAGCGACTTTTTTTATTTCTCAAAATATTATTGTTATTTATAAACTTTGATAATATATCCACAACTAATAATAGTGCTCAGTGTAGAACAGTAAGCTTGAATTGTACTATTTATCATCTCATAATTTATCTTACTAACAAAAGGTTGACGACCTACATTAGCTTTAGCATCATAGCATTTACATATATCGGTAGCTAGCTACCCGACTTCTCATCTTCAATCACTTAATCTATTAAGAAAACTACATCAAAATCCGTCACGTAGTTTTGTAGTATTTAAGCATAGCATGCACAGGGGCATAGAAAGCGTATCTGTTTTATACTATGTAGATAATATTAGGATAATTGGGCACCTTTACTAACCCACTTGGAAGGAAAGTAAAGGTCGTTGTAATAATATAATATGTACATAAAATAATGTTTCTTACTTTGCTTTCCTCATTGTGATAGTCTATTTTTTTTATATATATTATAAGTCGGCAAACGAGCAGACGGATTACCTGATGGTAAGCAATGAGCGCCCCCCATGGACACCCGCAACGGAGGAGTAACGAGTGCGTTGCTGACCTTTTAGGGATTAGGGATTTGGAGATTTAGGGATTGGGAAAGGGCCCGGGAAGGGGAGGATTGGGCCTCCGGTAACCTCACTCACACGGCGAAACACAACGCTGTGGTTGTTTCACGCCGGTTTTCTGTGAGGCAGTGGTATCACTCCGGTCGAGCCGACCCATTCGTGCCGAAGCATAGCTCTCCCACACTTGAAAATAACAGTGTATTTACAATAAGTTTTTAAAAAGTTTTATCTCTGGAATTGGATTAAAAGAAAAAAATATTCATTCACCTGTGAGAATAAAGAAATGACATTTTAAGCCCTTATCTATCTTACTTTGGGCACGCTACCATAGCAGCGGTAAGACCCCTCTTTGAGGAGTGGCTTGGGAGACGCCACGGCGTCCTCACCTTCCGTCTGACGAGGTGCTTACCGGGCACGGCAGCTTCGGTAGGTTCCTGTTTCGGATTCAGCGGGAGGAAACGCCCGAGTGTCGTCATTGTGAGGACCACCTAGAGGATACGATGGAGCATACGGTAGCGGTATGCTCTGCCTGGGCTGAGCACCGCCGTATCCTCAGGGAAGTGATCGGCGGCGGCGACCTCTCGCGCCCGGCCTTAGTCGAGGCCATGGTGCAGAGTGAGAGGAACTGGGACGCCGTCTCCTCCTTTTGTGAAGCAGTCATGCTCGTAAAGAGAGAGGCGGCCCGCGTGAGGGAGCAATCCTCCTCCTCACGCCCCAGCAGCCGCAACTGGCGACACTACGGGCGTCGGGGATCGAGGGACGATCTCCGGCCACCGTAAGCACGGGCCTGCGGTCGGCGAGTAAGGGCAGCTCGCCGCCCGACCAGAACCAGACCCGAGCGTACGGCGCGTAGCGTTCCGCGCGCGCCTCAAAGAGCCATTCGACCACCACAGATGGGGCCCTAAAGGGCTGATGTTCAGCCGGGGTTGCGGGGTAAGCGCAATGAGGTACCGCGACCTCGGTACAGAGCAGGAGAAGGAACAGGGGGGTTTTTAGTCAGTAAGAGTCTGACACTCCCTCCTGCCCGGCCCTGGGCGGGAGAAGTCATTTGATGATTTTCCCCTCTAAAAAAAAAAAAAAAAAATCTATCTTACTTATAAATAAAAAGAATAGCAAAATTGTTGGTAAGCGCATAACTCAATAACGCCTGGATCAAACTTGCCAATATTTTTCATGTTTTAATCATTAATAAAAGTAAATTGCGTGTAAATTAACCCGAGCGAAGCGGCGAAAAGCCGCTAGTTCCAAATAAAATAATAAATGTAAAAATATTTTTTTTTAATGTGTCAATAATAAATAAATAAAATAAGTAAGAGTAAATAAATATGTTTTGATTTCAATTACAAATTATGTCTAAACAACAAGTCAGTAACGGTAAACTGTCTTTTTTTTATGAGTGGAAACCATCAAATTTTAATGACTTCTGCGGCCCGGGGCTGGGCGTGAGGGAGTGTCAGACTCTTACAGACTAAACCCGACCCGACCCTAAAGCATGGAAAGTTTATATACCTAATTATAAAATAATAAAACCGGAGATTTATCCAGGTTATCGTACATGTGTGCGAAGCCTTACAAATACGAGACTGTGGCCAAAAACTAACAAAAAAATTAAATAACTAGGTCCTTTATATGGCTCACATTTTTTTATTTTTATTCGTAGCCCAAATGCAAACTTCGTGATTATGTAGGTAAGTATACCCCATCTTCCACCCATCCATATCTCATCATTAATAAAGGATAAAGTAATAAATTATATTTTGAAGTGCGACGTGTTTTACCTCATTTTGTTCTCATGAAATAATTAATTTTGAAAGACATTGTTAATTGTGTGGAATTCTGTAAAATGGGTGTGGTCCCACTGAGTTCACAAAATGTCTTTGTTTCGTGATAAGGATAATTATGCATTTGAATATATGTGTAGCGTATTGATCTGGTTACTAGAATTAATTAGGCAC